CAGATTTCCCATCCAACCCAACCGATAATTGTCTATCTACAAATGAGCAGTCCCAAGATTGTGAGTGCAAGGACCTTGTCTCAGAAAACAAAAACAAACCCACAATGAAATACCACTACACACCTATTACAGTATTTAAAATGGAGAGACCGCTCAAAACATATGTTCCTGAGGACATTAAGCAGTGGTTCTCATATATAGCTCTGTTGGACCTAGTAAAATAGGGCAACTACTTTGGAAAACAGCTTATCAGTTTCTTAAAAAAAAGTTACATATACATACTTCATACCATGTGTCCAAACAGTCAGTTCATTGCCAGGTAAATAACCATGAGGAATGAAACATATGTACTGCAAAGACTTGTACATGATTATTCACAGTACCTCATTTATAATAACCAAAAATTGGAAACAGTCAAAATGTTCAACAAATGAAAGGATAAACAAATTAAGATACTGTATATAGATACTACTAAATACTTACCAACAGTGAGAGCAAATCAAATATTATAGGTGCAATAACATGGATGAATCCTGATGCTGAGTGAAAGAAGCCAATGAAAAAACATTACACACAAATTGGGCGCCGGTTGGCTTATGCCTGTGATCCTAGCAACTCTGGAGACAGAGGTCTGGAAGCCATGGTTTGAAGCCAGCTGGGAAAAATAGTTCAGGAGACCCTATCTCAAAAAAACCATCCCATAAAGGGCTGGCAGAGTGGCTCAAGTGGTATATATGATTCTGCTGTATAAAATTGTAGAAAGTGCACATTATAGTGACAGAAAGCTGATTGGCAGTTGCTTGGAGACATGAGGGTAGGGAGATGGGGGTTTGGTTTGGATAATGGTTTTATGATTGTGTACCTATGTTGAGTTATCAAAGCTTGTATTTTAAATATGTGCAATACCTAAATAAAGCTGCTAAGCAAAAGTCACCAGGTTATGTTCCACTCAAGAGTAGGAAGATTAATAATACCAACCTATAAAGCCATTAAGGCAGGGAAAGCAATCTGAGCTCAGTGTGAGGAGCTATACCATGGTTGGTATTTTGTGGTTTTATGAGTTTTTCAGTGTGATTTAAAAAACCCTGAACAATGCTTAAGAATATTAGTATTTTCTCAGTCATTCATCCATCACTACAAGACAGTTTTCTTTAACTTACTGTGCCTTATTTTGCAATGAAATAATTGCATATTATCTTGTGTTCTTTTTTCATTTGGTATAAACCTTTTCCTGTCTTACTTATTGTTTTTAAAAAATGGCTATACTTTTTATCTTATACTGTTTATTAGTCTCTTAATTTATGATGATCGTAATATAGTCTTCTGATTTTAGTGGAATCTTCCAGAGTATTAAATACTGAATTTTACTTCTAAAAATAACAGTTTATATGGAGCAATGTGATAGTAAAAAAGTATCAATTTGTAGTAAATCTGAGTTTAAAAACTCATTAGAAAATCATTTCATTTGTAGGAAAAAAAACCTTTATTGCTTATTTGTAGCTAGGCAGTTATCACTTGGGGTGAGTGGGATATCTGGATTGAAATGTTATCTCATTTAAGATATAATGATAATAATGATAACAACACATGTTAAGTAAAGGTCAAGACTCTTGGCTTAGTATATTTGTGTCCAGAGGGTACATGTATGGGTCATTTCCAGATGTTGGGAGATGGTATCATTGTAGAGAACTCAATACAAGAAACACTGAACTGCTTTTTGTACGAAAATTGCAGGGTAAATTTAAGTGCACAGAAACTTAAAAGTTAAATTTATTGATAAATTCTCAAGAAGTGGAAGTCTGTTTTTTATTGGAATAAATGCCAGGTTTTTGTGGGTTTTGTTGTTGTTTGTACTGAAGTTAGAACTCAGGACTTTGTGCTTGCTAGGCAGGTGCTCGACTGCTTGAGCCATGCCTCTAGTCCATTTTTTTTTAAAGGTACATTCAGAACTACTTAAGTCATGAATACAAGTTAGGATTTAAAATTATGAATAGAAATTAGTGCTTATGCATACTTTATTAAAAATTTAATATCATAGAGACGTGTAGGTAGTTAGGAGGGCTTATTTATTTTGTGTTGCTGTGGGTAGAACCTAGGGCATTGTGCATACAGGGCAAATACTTTACTGCTGTCTTCCATCCCTGGAAGACATTTAAACCGTAAAGCAGGAATGGCAAAATATGATTTGTTTTCTTATTACTTATTTATTCCATTCATGCCAGTGTTGTTGAAGTTAGGTAATTTGTGTAACTAAAGTTCTGAGTCTTCCTAGATAAAAAAACTTTTTCACCCCTGAAACCTAAAAGGGACAGCTTATTTTTTTTTTAACAGAATTTCATTTGAATGAGGTAATTGGTTTTAGTTACCAGTTTACTTTTCAAAAAATTAAACTTTACAACATGTAAAAGTTGTATGCCTATGTTCCTTTGCTAATTGTTTTTTTTTGGGGGGGAGGGGGCTTTCAACTCAGGGCTTCATGCTTTCAAAGCAGATGCTCTACCACTTGACTACCTTCACTGTGGTGGTTTTGGAGATGGAATCTCAAGGTACCCATTTGGCTAATAGTTCTTATTAATACCCCCTCCCCCTTTTTTGGCAGTAGTGGGGTCTGAACTTAGTGCCTCGTGCTTGCTAGGCAGGTGCTCTTACCACTTGAGCCACCTCACCAGCCCTATACACCTCTTTTTTATATTTTAAACTAATGTTAATGACATTTTAAAAATTCATCTTTTATTGTCACTGCTTTGAAGAGGTTTATCATGAAAAAGTATTCTGGGTTAGGTTTAAAGGTATTTGAGGGAAAATTGTTGGTACTGCTGAAGTTTCTTTTTGGGTAAATAGGATCTTTCTAAAAGAAAAAGCATGAAGGAGAAACCCAGGTGTATATACATTTCCTCAAATGACTAACATTGTATTTGTGAATACTATGTATCTTGCAATGAACAGTGTGGAAGCTGTTCAATTTTCAATCTGAGGTAAAGTACTTTCAAGGGAAAAAAAGACATTTGATAGTTGCCTCATTAACTACAGTTAACTTAACGTTATCTATCTGTTCTTTATAGCTCTACCCACTGATTCCTAGATCTTGTTTTTAAGTGCTTATAGCTGAACAAAACAAAATCCTAGCCATCCACTCAAGGGATAGTAAATAAATTAGGAAAGAAGGGAGTTTTTTAGGCTCTTCTTTTTCATTACAACTTACTGACTGTTAAGTAGGTTTTTGCCATCTGCAGTTATTTAATATCTAGAAGTTGTAATTTACTGTGTTAATTTATAACTTTAACAACTTTTACTGTAATGGATTTGGAGGCCCTTTAAAATTTGTTATAATGACATTTTCAATGTGATTTGTTTGTTAAAAGTACAGCAGACTTAACCCCTTTTTCTTCTTTAGAGGGTTACTTAAAAATAGGCCTTCAAAGTAAATTAAAGTAGAATGAAGTTGGAGAAACTTGGCTTTGAAATTGGATTAGTCACTGTAGTTATAGCAATATGTGAAAAGGTAATATTTCTCAGGAATATATTAAAAATGTTCATATGTGCCTGTGATTTTTTTTTTTGTCTAGTTTTGTTGTCTCCCCAGTAATTTTATAATCCTGAAGTCCCCATCCTGCTTAGGCATTTTGGACTCCTTCCAAGATATCTGATGGCCTTTATCTTGACCTTCATCTTCTAGGACAGATTTGGGGTTAACTGATACATACTAGCTCTGTCTGACACACTTGTCATCCCTTTAGTAACTGTTTGTTTCCTTTCAATCAGGGTAGTAATTACTGTATCAGTAAATGTAGAGACTTGTTTTCTATTCCACAAATTAATTGGCTGACCACTTAAAGAACATGTCATTATTTTTGAAAACTTTAGAATTTGAAAGATTTTGAAAATACATTTGTGTTATTCAAAACAGGAAGGAATTTTTTCTGTTTGGAAAATAAATTTGGCTCAGGCCTGATTCTTTTTCAGAATTTCATGACTTAGATGTGGCACTAAAAGAGATTCATTCTGTATTTCTAGTGTATTTTAATTAAGACTAGATTTATGATTTCTTCTATATTTTACTATTATATATCTAATTTTAGCTGGTTCATAACTGGTAATATTTGTTTTAAAGTTTACAGTTAGGTTAGCCTGTTGAGTTATTATCTTCCACATCTAGCATTTGAACTCTAACTTGGCAGTTTAAAATGTCATTCATATCAAATAAGGAAGTTGTCTTGGGTTTTATAATAATTAGTCCATCTTTTTATTTTTTATTGACCATGGGCAAAAACAGATATGTTGCATTTAATATGCAGTCTCATAATGCTCTAGAAGTTCTTTAAGCAGGAAGTGCCATACAACTTGAATATATAAGAAGTTGTATCATCATACCTCTGTGAAAAAAAATTTTCCATGTAACTTCATGTAGTAAAGTATTTTTAATATAACAAGTCACATGTGATACTTCATAGGCGTTGGATCCTCTATATTTGGTTCTTGCACCTTGGTTTCTCCCACATATTTGCCTTGATCTTAGGGATTTTTCTTGTCTTTGTTAACTTAACTACATGGCACTGTATTAGGAAAATATGCTTACAAAAAAGGAAGTGATTAATTTTGGGAAAAAAGGCACTTCTAACATTTATCCTGGTAGAAGAGGTTTAAAGATACTAAATTTTAAACTTGTTGCTCAGTTTTGAGGTAGCCTCCATCTCCTAATTCTCTAAAATGTGTTATGGTAGTTTGGTAATGATGCATGCTTGACAGTACAGGCAAATTTTCCATATTACTGAGGTTAAAATTCTGCAAATGACAGATTAAAATCCTCAAATTTGATTATCATAGTTGTGTTAAGATATTTAATTGTACTATGCCAAAATATAGAAGCTAAAACCCTTATAAATCCTTTCAAGAAATATTTTACTCAGTAACTAAAGCATTGTGGAATAATGCCTAGTAAAATCAAATGTCTTTTGGGGGCCTAACATGTGTTAACTTAACTATATTTGATTTTTAAATAGACACCAAATCCCACTGCAAGCGAATTTATTCCTAAAGGAGGATCAACCTCCAGGCTGAGTAATGTATCCCAGTCAAATATGTCTGCCTTCTCTCAAGTTTTCTCTCATCCATCCATGGGAAGCCCTGCTGCTGCTGGATTAGCACCAGGTAAGTTGAGTAACTGTTTCCATGAGTTCCAGGTATCGAATCTTTCAAGCATCACTTGCTGTTTTTTTTTAATTTGTCAGAACTGAAACCGTATACTTGAACTGTTCACTTTTGAACACATTATGAGTTTTGTGTTCTAGTTTTTGGTACTACAGACCAAATATGTAGTTAGAATTTTGAAGCACAATATAAATATGAATGAAATTATATGTAAGGATTTTTTTAAAGCATAAAAATAAGATGTTTATTTAGAAAAAATTCTGCATGAATCTTGCTGTTTCCCTATTTTTAAAGTAAGTGATAATGCTATTTCACTCAAAAACTTTTATAAAGGTGTAGAAATAGAGGGACTGTTGATGTGTGTATTGGCTTAAAGCCCTCCTTTTGTTCTACATTAAAAGAATAATTCCATATTCTAAGTACATCTTTAGGTATATTGCCTTTCAGATGTTTGATTGTAAATGCTGTATAGCAGAAATTTAAAATTGGGATAAGTATTATAAATAGTTATAGAAAGGTGTAACATCAGGGATCATTCTAGGAAAATTACTTTAGTCATTTTCTTCCATTGATATCCACAGTAGCTGAAGAATTTGAGTAAATGCACTGAACTCAAGGGTCCTGGAGCATAATTAAAGTGACATATTGAGAGACCTGTGATTGTTCTTCAAAGTCCAAGTGTCTTAGATAGCTAACATGTCCCATTCCCACTACTATTGTGTGTCTTGATTTGGAACGTAAAATAGGCAGGATTACATTAAACTCATAGTAAGTGTTGAGCAGGTTGTTACCCTGTAAAATGTTTGAGGTGTACACACAGATTGTGTTCCTAGAAACTGTACTGTAAATCATCACTTGGTCTTAAACATTTCAAAACATTTCAAAAAATACAAACAAAATGAAATATACGCTTGCCAAAACAAAACCAAAAGATTTATCTAGATTATTCTAGAACTAGTATTGCCTCCAGAGCTTAATTCAACAACTAAGATTTGTGTTGATTTTGATACTGACATCTAAATAAAAAGAAGGATGAGAAAAAATGAAGGTAATACAATGGAACCGAGTATCTGTCTTAGCATATGAAATGTGTGTGAGTAAACCAGGGCTTGAATAACAACCTTGTGTTGCCAAGGATTTTATCAGTACCTCTTTTGCCCCATCCTTCTCTCTCTCTTGCTGATCCCACTCATGCTCCCTCCCTCCCATCTCCACTCCTTGTTCCTGTACTGTTTCTTCTACTGTGGTTCTTTTTCATATTCAGTTAAAATTAGTAGACTTTTGTTCTTCCCTGGAGAGCAGCGTCAGAACTAAGTATCTGTGGTAGCCTGAGTTTTATTTATAGACAATTACTATAATTTTTGTCCTATTGAGGTACGTTCACATTGTTTAGAGAAGCATAATCTATATGTTGGCCTTATATCTAATATTTCTTAAGCATTGTCTGTACTTCTGAATAACACTGTAATTTATTATCATCTGTCTGTTTATGAAGTACCCACAGTAATAGGGATACATATTCTAGTCCCTGAACATTGACTTTTTAATTAATTGCCTTGTATCAGAAGTAAATACTTTTGTTCACTTATTTGATCAGGTTATTTCAGGCTTGCCATTTTAAAAAACACAGTGGTGGGGATCAAACCCAGGGTATGCTAAACATGTGTTCTCTGCCACTGAGCTGTATTCTCAGTCATCTCCACCCCCCAAAAAGCCTTTTTAACTAATGAGGAGTTAAAAATATTAGAGGGAATTTTTTATTTTGAAAGCATTTAGTTTAAAAAATTTATTAATATTTGTATTTAAACTTTTTTTAAAAAGTAAGTATTAACTTCTTCCTGGGTAGATGTTTCAGTGGTCCTCATTGGACATCATAATTTAAATGTAGAACGAAAATAATTAATTTTAAAACTAACCTGAGCAACCGTTTATTCTTCTACACACCCTTAACATTAAAAAGGTCATTCAATCTCTGAAACCACTGGAAATCGGTCGATATATCATGTTAAATGAATTCTTGAATTTTTTACAGCTATTATTTCAAAAGTGTTTATTCAAATGACAGTTAGCTAAGTGCTAAAACATTTTCCCAAAATACTGGAATAATGAATGTTTTAACGTTTATTATTTCTTCATTAGTTTTTCCTCTTAGCTAATGGCTTAACTCAGCAGATAAGCAAAGAAAAAGAAACTTAAGTTTGCCTTCCTTTCAGAAAACCATTTTACTCCTTCAAAGTCTTCCATTATTCCTTTCCCACAAACATATTTTTCAAGGCCTTGACATTTGCACATTAAGTTTTAATAGGATAAGTAAAAATACAGACTTTATTTACCTACCATAGATCATTTAACTTCTCTTTAATGCTTTCTGTCTACTGTAGGTATAACACGTTACTAATTTTCAGTTATAAATTTTTTTATTTTTGATTATCCCAGTAACTGTTGCTCTTGTCAAGTTATTGTTTTTCTAAAAAATATAAAACCATAAATACATTGACACTCATGTAAACTGCAGTAGTTTGAGTTTTTTTGACCAAAAAATGTACAAATATTTGAGCAAGATTGAGTTACTCGTTAAGATTTAGAGTTTCCACAAATTAGAAGCAACAAAAGCAAAATATTAGCCTCTTACAAAGTATGTCCTGAGTGTATCAGATTTCTTTTCTAAAATATGTTTTGATCACTTAAAAAAATTGTGCTTTTTATAAGTTTTTATGCAAGAACTAAAATTTTGTACAAAAATTATTTGAATTCATTCATATCTAATTAAACTTAAAAGGCATTAAAAGTGCTAATAGCATGTGACATGTTAAGCCTTTATTGAATTGTATAGATCAACATTTTGTTCTACTTTTAAGAAATCAAGGATTTATGGACTTAGTTGTTTTATGTACATTTAACTTAGGAACAATAGCCACTTTTCTTAACTCTCTTAGGTAGTTTTAACAATATTTAAGGTATGGTTTCTAATTTAGGCTTCATTGTGTTTGAAAACCCTTACAATTATATGCATATTTTTTATTTATAAATGCACACTTCTCTCTGACCACAGCCATTATTATCCTCTCAGAAGTTCACAGCATTCCAAAAATTAAGAACCAGTGGTTTAACATTGTTAGCACAGTTAAGTTCTCAAGTGTGTTGTTGTAGGAATACTTTTAAGTAACACATAGTCTAATAGCTCATGCATAGCAAAGATTTTTTTGAATATATCTGTAGAAATGAAATCATTATTACTGGGCTTAGCATGTGAAACGATAGCTTATGCTTTAATATTTTGTGCCATTAATTGTATAAACCAATTGTTGACTTTTCATTATTAGAATATTTCCTGAGTACTTTGATTTGATATCAATTTAGAAACTAAGTCTTAATATTCTTTAATTATCTATTAAATTGCCAGTGTATCACAGTATGTTCAAGTGATTTTAAGAGGTAGTAACAGGAGCAGCATGAATTTCTGAGTAGTATTCTGATATATTATCTGGTGGTTTCATGTACAATTGTGACTCAGCATTCGGCTTTTCTTCTGCTTAATTGTGTGTAGGCATTTGAGAGGGACAGAGATAAGTTCTTGAATTTGAAAATGTTACTATTGATGTGTAAATGAGAAAAAGAGCCATAGAGACTTCAGCATTTTCAAATACTGATCCCTTCAAAATGAGGATAGTCCAGGATTTTAGACCTTTGAATATATTTCATTGCATGTTATTGTGGTAAATCTCATGATTGATTTGGGGGAAAGAATAATTATTATACTAAACTTAGCATTATTAGTAATTGTATTCATTCATTACCAGTTTTAATGTAGTACTATAGGTTTTGTGTGTGTGTGTGTGTGTGTGTGTGTGTGTTGCTGGGTTTTGAACCTAGGGCCTCGTACATGCTAGGCAAGTATTCCACCACTGAGCTACACCCCTAGCCCATATTTTTTTGAAAAGAAGAAGGAAGGAAAATATTTATGTTCTGAGATCCAGGTTTTTAAGAAACTGAATAATCATTTAATATATAGTCCTGAGGGTGATGGTTTCAAATTGATGGGTAAAGTTTGCTAATGTTGGTATTTTTAACCTTTTCTTGGAAAAGGTATGGGGGAGGGGAAGGGACTGGAAAGGAAAGGAGAAAATTAATACTGTTCACAAATAATTATTTTACAAATATTCACCTTAAAATGCTTATTCTGGTAATGTTGAATATTCCTTCTAGTTTTAAGTTTCATGCTAAAAAACAATAATGTCATATGGTTTATTAGCTCCATGACATTTTATATCATAGATATAAAATATCATAGATGAGGAAATGAAGGTTTAATCTATCTAAATTGCGCAGTAGCTGGCTTAGGTAGTAATTTAATACTGGTCATCAAACTAGTGGAAACTTTGAGTGCTTCATAGTGCCTGTTTAGAGGTGGCATTCCTGACAAATTGCTTTCTAGCCTCTTCTTGGTCATTTACAGTAATAAGGGCTTCATTAGTTAGCCAAGCCAACCCAGTGTACATTTTAACAGTTGAAAAATTATGTGTTATGCTCAACTAAACTCTGGTTTGTCTGTCTTCCATCTACCGTACTATTTCCTCTTTTTGATGAATGGAATAAATAAAAAAATTTTCTACATGAGGCCTTTTAAGTTACTGTCTTCTTTAAACTAGTTCTGTGTTTATGTCCATAAAACAGATCTGTTTATAAGACTGAAAGACAAGAGGAAGGGGGTAGGGCAGATTGGGGAAGATACCTCTAAAAGTAATAAGCATGTAGGTCAAAAATTGACCTCCCATGAGTTATAAAGACAGGGATACTATTGTGGGTAAAATTAAATCTACAGATATGTCTGACTGGCTGTATTATTTCACTGACTGCTGGCTAAGGAGTGTACCATTGGGAAAGTAATAAACTCTCAGTAGGGCAAGAGATCTTTCAGAGTATCTAAGCTCATATTTAAAATTTCATTGTATATGTTAGGCTCTATATTACGCATTCAGGCATAAAACACGCTTAATCCA